AGATAAGGAAGGAAACTACATCCTGCTAAAAGGCACCATAGACAATGAAGTAATATCATTACTAAATATATATGCACCAAATGGTATAGCATCCAAATTCTTACAGGAGAAGTTCAGGGAGTTACAGGAAGAAATAGACAGCAAAACTATACTAGTGGGGGACCTGAACCTCCCCCTCTCAGCACTAGATAAGTTCAACCACAAAATAAACAAGAAAGAAGTTAAGGAGTTGAATAGAACATTAGAAAAGTTAGGTATGATAGACCTCTGGAGAAAACTGAATGGGGATAGAAAGGAATATACTTTTTTCTCGCAGTACATGGCACATACACAAAAATTGACCATGTACTAGGGCATAAAAATCTCCCAATCCAATGCAGAAAGGTAGAAATATTAAACTCATCCTTTTCAGATCATGATGCAATAAAAATTATATGTAATAAAGGGCCGTGGAAAGATAGACTAAAAAATAATTGGAAACTAAATAATCTAATCCTAAAAAATGATTGGGTCAAACAACAAATCATAGAAACAATCAATAATTTCATTCAAGAGAATGACAATAATGAGACAACATACCAAAACCTATGGGATGCAGCAAAAGCAGTTCTTAGGGGAAGTTTTATATCTCTAAATGCTTACATAAATAAAATAGAAAAAGAGGAGATTAATGAATTGGGCATACAACTAAAAAAACTAGAAAAAGAACAAATTAAAAATCCTCAACTAAACACCAAATTAGAAATATTGAAAACCAAAGGAAAAATTAATAAAATTGAAATTAAGAAAACTATTGAACTAATAAATAAAACTAAGAGCTGGTTTTATGAAAAAACAATAAAATAGATAAGCCTTTGGTTAATTTAATTAAAAAAAGAAAGAAGAAAACCAAATTACTAGTATCAAGAATGAAAAGGGTGAAGCTACCACCAAGGAAGAGGAAATTAAAACAATAATTAGGAATTATTTTGCCCAACTATATGCCAACAAATTTGACAATCTTAGTGAAATGGATACATATTTACAAAAATATAAATTGCCCAGATTAACGAAGAGGAAGTAAAATACTTAAATAACCCCATCTCAGAAAAAGAAATTGAACAAGCCATTGATGAACTCCCTAGGAAAAAATCTCCAGGGCCAGATGGATTTACATGCAATTCTATCAAACATTTAAAGAACAATTAATTCCAATACTATATAGACTATTTGGGAAAATAGGTGAAGAAGGAGTCTTACCAAATTCTTTTTATGATACAAATATGGTGTTGATACCTAAACCAGGAAGAGTCAAAATAGAGAAAGAAAATTATAGACCAATTTCTCTAATGAATATAGATGCAAAAATTTTAAACAAAATACTAGCAAGTAGATTACAGCAACTTATCACAAGAATAATACACTATGACCAGGTAGGATTTATACCAGGAATGCAGGGTTGGTTCAATATTAGGAAAACTATCAGCATCATTGAGCATATCAACAAAAAACCAACAGAAACCACATGATCATCTCAATAGATGCAGAAAAAGCTTTTGATAAAATACAACACCCATTCCTATTAAAAACACTAGAAAGCATAGGTATAAATGGAGTCTTCCTTAAAATAATAAATAGCATTATCTAAAACCTTCAGCAAGCATTATATGTAATGGGGACAGGCTAGAAGCATTTCCAATAAGATCGGGGTGAAACAAGGATGTCCATTATCACCACTGTTATTCAATATTGTACTGGAAACTTAGCTTTAGCAATAAGAGAAGAAAAAGAAATTGAAGGCATTAGAATAGGCAAAGAAGAAACAAAGCTATCACTCTTTGCAGATGACATGATGATATACTTAGAGAATCCTAGAGAATCAAGTAAAAAACTACTTGAAATAATAAACAACTTTAGCAAAGTTGCAGGCTATAAAATAAACCCACATAAATCATCAGCATTTCTATATATTACCAACAAAGCCCAACAGCAAGAGATAGAAAGAGAAATCCCATTTAAACTTACTGTAGACATTATAAAATATTTAGGAGTCTACCTCCCGAAACAAACCCAGGAACTCTATGAACACAATTACAAAACACTTTTCACACAAATAAAATCAGATCTAAATAATTGGAAAAACATCAGTTGCTCATGGGTAGGCCGAGCTAATATAATAAAAATGACAATCCTACCTAAGCTAATTTACTTATTCAGTGCCATACCAATCAAACTACCAAAAAATTATTTTATAGAGTTAGAAAAAATAATAACAAGATTCATTTGGAAAAACAAAAGGTCCAGAATATCAAAGGAACTAATGAAAAGAAATGCAGGGGAAGGTGGCCTAGCAATTCCAGATCTTAAATTGTATTATAAAGCAGCAATCATCAAAACTGCTTGGTACTGGCTAAGAAATAGGGAGGTGGATCAGTGGAATAGGTTAAATATGCAAGACACAGTAGTCAATGACTATAGTAATCTATTATTTGATAAACCCAAAGACCCCAGCTTCTGGGATAAGAACCCACTCTTTGAAAAAAACTGCTGGGAAAACTGGAAAAGAGTATGGCAGAAACTAGGCATAGACCCAAATCTCACACCATATACCAAAATAAAGTCAAAATGGGTTCATGACTTAGATATAAAGGCTGATACCATAAGTAAACTGGGAGAACAAGGAATAGTTTACCTATCAGATCTATGGAGAACAGAAGAATTCATGACCAAACAGGAGATAGAGAACATTATGAAAAGCAAAATGGATAATTTTGATTACATTAAATTGAAAAGTTTTTGCACAAACAAAGCCAATGCAACTAAGATTAGAAGGAAGGTAGAAAATTGGGAAAGAATTTTTACAACCAGTCTCTCTGATAAAGGCCTCATTTCTAAAATATATAGAGAATTAAGACAAATTTATAAGAACACAAGCCATTCCCCAATTGATAAATGGTCAAAGGATATGAACAGACAGTTCTCAGATGAAGAAATTAAAGCCATCTATAGTCATATGAAAAAATGCTCTAAATCATTATTGATTAGAGAAATGCAAATCAAAACAACTCTGAGGTACCACATCACACCTATCAGATTGGCCAACATGACAAAACAGGAAAATGATAAATGTTGGAGAAGATGTGGGAAAATTGGAACACTAATACATTGTTGGTGGAGTTGTGAAATGATCCAACCATTTTGGAGAACAATTTGGAACTATGCCCAAAGGGCTACAAAAATGTGCATACCCTTTGATCCAGCAATAGCACTTCTAGGGCTATATCCCAAAGAGATCAAACAAATGGGAAAAGGACCCACATGTACAAAAATATTCATAGCAGCTCTTTTTGTGGTGGCAAAGAATTGGAAATTGAGAGGATGCCCATCAGTTGGGGAATGGCTGAGCAAGTTGTGGTATATGAATGCAATGGAATACTATTGTGCTGTAAAAAATGATGAACAGGCTGACTTTAGAAAAACTTGGGAGGACTTATATGGTCTGATACTGAGTGAAGTGAGCAGAACCAAGAGGACTTTGTACACAATAACAGCCATTATGCAATGACTAAGATTGTTAAACTGAACCCTTCTCAGCATTGAGGATCTAAGACATCTCCAGAGGCCTCGGGATGGAAAATGCTGTCCACATCCAAAGAAAGAACTATGGAAGTCGAATCGCTAACACTTATTTTTACCTTCTGTTGAGTTTTGTTTCCTCTTTCTGATGGTTCCTTGTATTGGTTTTAATTTTTACTTACAACTTCACTAATGTGAAAATGTGTTTAATGGGTATGTAAATGTAAAGCCTATATCAGATTGTGCGCCATCTTGGGGAGGGTGGGGGGGAGGAAAAGGGAGAAAAATTTTCAACTCAAAAGCATATGGAAAAAATAAAAAAAAATTTGAATTAAAAAAAAACCTTTAAATTAAAAAGCACACTCAGTCAGACACCTGCCACAGACAATGCTGTGTCCAGACTGAAGTATGCGCATTAGAGAAAAGACTGCATGGGAAGATCATACTAGCAAGAAAATATAACAGGAAGTTTCCCAACATGTTTGTTTCTGAGAAAACAGGAAGCATGTGAAGCTAGAAAGTGGCAGTGAAGAAGAAGAACATTCCAGGCACATGGGACAGCAGTGAAGGGGCACTGGGTCAGGAGGAGGGTCCTTTATGAGAAACGGCAAGAAGGCTATTGTTACTAGATCATGGGGTACTTGGAAGGGGGTAGAGTATAAGGAAATAGGAAAGGGAGGAATTGACCAAGTTCTGAAGAGCTTAAAGGAATTTCTTATTAGACCCAGGAGGAGAGGAGGTGACATGGTGAGACCTGTTCTTTCAGATGATCAATTTAACAGCTGAGTGCAGCATTGGCTGGATTGGAGAGAGAGTTGAGGCATGGAAAGCAATCAGACCACCATGGCAACAGCCCACCCTTTGGATGGTGAGGGCCTGATACAAGGTGACTGCTTTCTGAATAGAAAGAGGGATGAAAAAGGCACCTGAATAGGCATTTCATTCTTTTTGTCCTCAGTTTCTCCATCTACAAAATGGAAGGTTGAAACCAGCAATCATGTTTTTTTCATTTTAGCCTGTAGAAAGATATAACAGAAACACAGAAGAGAAGAATAAACATATTCTCCCCCAACTCCATTAAACAACTCAAGGGACACATTCCCCTCACAACACCTAGTAGACCAGAGAATCTCCAAGGCCCCTCCATCTCCATTCCATCGAAGCCTGAGCCCTTAACTGTGTATAAATTTTGTTGGTACTCTAGTCTTAGTTTTCTTTCAAACTCAGCTCCTTTCTTTCTTTTTTAATTCTGTTCTTTGAATAGACACTTATCACCTCTTGGTCTCTAGACCCAGAGCCATCTGATCTCTCCTGGGAAGGTAGACAGGCTTCCCCTGCTTATAACCACAATAGGACACCTGCCACAGCCACCACCATGTCCAGCCTAGGGCAGGTGCATTTAATATAGAAATACAAAAAGGCCACATGTGGTCACACTTTCAAGGAAATACAATTGGGTAACTCCTTTCATGTGCATATAACCACTCCTGGGGTCCTTCAGTGTAGGCTGGACCAGCATTGTTTTGCATGGTGATATCCAAGGCACCTTCGCAAACTGAGCCTGAGATACAAATACCTCCCATCTGTCTCCCTCTGAGCTCAGAGCTCTCTGCCTTCAGCTCTGCAAGAGTCACAATGCTCTCCCAGTCCTTGCTCCTCTGGCTGTTACTGCTCTGGCCTCAAGGTAAGACTTCCAATGAGCCATAAATTGGCACCTCTTAAGAGACAGCAGGAGTATTCCAGTGGGCATCTCTGACACAGCCTGAAGGTAAGAGAACTAGTCCTGCATTCACTGTCTCTCTACAGGATTCTTCAGTCACTGAAATATCTTTCTTCTTCTCCTTTAGCATCGCAGGCAGCAATTGTATTGACCCAGTCCCCGGCCTCCCTGTCCGTGGCTCTAGGAGACAAAGTCACCATCAGCTGCAAGGCCAGTTCCAGCGTTAGCAAGTGGATGGCCTGGTACCAGCAGAAACCAGGACAGTCTCCCAAGCTCCTGATCTATGATGCTTCCAACCTGCAGTCTGGGGTCCCTGCCCGGTTCAGTGGCAGTGGCTCTGGGACAGATTTCACCCTCACCATCAGTGCAGTGGAGGCTGAGGATGTGGCAGACTATTACTGTTTTCAGTATTATAGTGATCCATTCCCACAGTGTTTCAGCCCTGAACAAAATCCTCTCCAGGCTACTCAGCCCTTCAGCAGAGGGCAGCAGCTGCTTCCCCAGAGTCACAGGCTTGAGGAAACCACTGCCCTCAGGGGAGAACTGGGCCCAATTCAGCCCTGCTGCAGGAGCCATTTCTCCCAGGGACCCTGGTGGAGATAGAAAGAGGAAGAAGAGAGAGAAAAAGGAGGAAGAGAAAGAATCTTCTGCCTGTTATGCTTTAGCCAGGGACAAACCTTGCCATGGGGGCTGCTTCCAGGAGCTGGTGTCATTATTTACTCTGCCCTCTGTTCCCTATCCCAATTACCTCACCCTGAGATGGTGTTTAACAGGACACTGAGGAAGTCCGTCAATTGGGGAATGGCTGAACAAGTTGTGGTATATGAATGTAATGGAAAATTATTGTGCTATAAGTAATGAGGAACAGGCAGTTCAGAAGAATGGGAAAGACTTACATGAACTGATGCAGAGTGAAATGAATAGAACCAAAGATAGTTTTACACAGTTACAGTCACATGGTACGATGACTGACTTTGACAGGCTTGGCTCTTCTCAGCAATGCAAGGATCTAAGAAAACTCCAAAAGACACATGATGGAAATTGCAATCCACACCCAGAGAAAGAACTGTGGAGTCTGAATGCAGATGAAAGCACACTATTCACTCTCTTTTTCCATTATTGTTTTGTTTTATTGCTTCATTCTCCTGGTTCCTCCCATTAGTTGTAATTGTTTTTTACATCATGACTAATGAGAAAATATGCTTAACATGAATTTATATGTAGAGCCTATATTGGCCCTCTGGGTGGGGGAGTAGGGGAGAGGAGAAATAGGAGGAGAAGAAAATTTAAAACTGAAAATCTTACAGAAATTAATGTTGAAAACTAAAAATAAATAATTGTTTTTTAAAATAAGAGGAAAGCATAAATAATCCAGGGGAATGGGCCTGGACTCACAGCTCTGCCTGCTTTTCCCCAGCCAGGATAGACAACTTGGATGGAATATTCCCTAAGTTCTTGAGGCAACCTCATCTATAGGATGGATCCAGTCTCTCTCCTCACTCTGGGAGCACAACTTTCAGGCAAGACTAGCTCTCCTGTCCTTGTCACCCCTTGGTAGTCCCTCATTCATCTTCCCAGAGAACTGGATCATCAGCATTGGGGATAACCATCCTTAACTTCCATAAGGCTTCTAAGAAAAATGTAAATGAAAAGAAATATAAAGGGGAAAGGATAGCAAAAAAGAGAGGAAAAAAAGAAATTTACATGATAACTGTTGTATATTTTATAGGAATACCAAGTTGTACATAGTAGATTTGTAGTTTTAAATACAATCATTTTTTATCGTACTACATTGCAGAAATGTTTGATTTTTTATTTATTACATAAATATGTATTAATATAATAAAAAAAGAGATCAAGGAAAGCATGAATAGGAAGAAAGGAGGTTGGGTGAGGGGCAGGGAGAAAATACCTTGAAAAGTCTGCTGGTTTAGGGGGTGAATTGGACAGAATGTACAGCCTGAAGTCAGGAAGACTCATCTTCCTGAGTTCAAATGTGGCCTCAGACGCTTACTAGATGTGTGACCCTGAGCATGTCACTTAACCTTCTTTGCCTCAGTATGCACATCTTGAAAAATTATCTGGAGAAGAAAATGGTAAGCCATTCCAGGATCTTTCCTAAGAAAACCTCAAATGGGGTCATGAAGAGTCAGACATGACTGAAACTACTGAACAACAATGCACTTTCAACTGTAGTTGGGCTTCACACAAACAAAACAATTTAAGGCAACTAAGTGGTGCACTGGATAGAACACTGGGTCTTGAGTCAGGAAGTCTCGAGTTCAAATTCTGCCTCAGATACCTACTTGTTTTGTTACCCTGGGCAAATAACTTAACCCTGCTTGTCTCAGGTTCCTCAGCTGTAAAATGGGCTGGAGAAAGAAATGGCAAACCACTCCAGTATCTTTGTCAAGAAAATTCCGAACAGGGTTGTAAAGAGTTGGACACAAGAGAAAAACTGACCAAGAAAGCATTATAAGTACTTTAAGGTTTGCTAAGCACTTTACATATATTAACTGATTGGATCCTCACAACAGCATAGGTGCTATTATTATCCCCATTTTACAGAGGAGAAAACTCAAATGTGGAAAAGATAAATGACTTGCCCAGGGCCACGCAGCTTGCACTCTACCCACTGTACCAGCTAGCTGCCTAATTGTGCTAAACAAAAACGGCACATCAATGGAAAGGAATATTACTGGGTCATAATAAATGGGAAATATGAAGATTTCAGAGAAATATGGGAAGACTTATGTGAACTTAGATAAAGTAAGAACTAAGAAAGCAATACACACAACGACTAACAATGTAAATATTAAGAATAAAACAGTGAAACTGAGTGTGGTGTAACTGTCATGACCAAACTTCCCCCTGGAGAGCAGCAGAGGAAATATACTTCCTTTCCTTCTTTGTAGAGGTGGGAATGATGGCTGTGGAATATTGTATGTGCTCTCAGAATTAATTGAGAGATTGATTACTTTTACTGAACTACTTTTTTTCACTTTTCATTTTTTTTTTAATTTTTCATTACAAAAGGTGGCTTTCTGGAAAGGGGGAGGAAAATTCAGAAAGAAAGATGAAACAAAAACCAAAAAATTAATTGAAATGTTTAAGTCAAGGGCAGGATTTGAACTCGGGCCTTCCTGATTCCAAAAGCAATATTCTAGCCATTAGGCAACACTGCCCTCCTAGATAGAAGAGAGACAGAATGGTTTAATACTCAAAGCACTGGACTTAAGATATCAAAAGACAGTGTTTGAACCCCAATTATGTCATTTTGGGGTCAGGTGACCAAGACTAAGTCAAAAGCTCACATTCCTCACCTATAAAATGGGGAATAAGCTTTGATATAGCACCTACTATGTTCCAGGCATTGTGTTGAGCACTTCACAACTATTATCTCATTTGATCTCCACAATAACTGCAGTTATCCCCATTCTATAGATGAGTGCACTGAGGTAAATAGAGATTCAGTGAATTTCCCCAGGGTGACAAGAGTAATGTTTGACAGTAGATCTGAAATCAGGTCTTCCTGATTCCAGAACTACCTCTCTATCCACTGGTCTAGCACCTGCCCCAAATGAGAATAATCATAACCTCTACATCACCCTTCTTAAAGAATGGAAAGGACTTTGCAAGTTGTCAAATGACATTTAAACTGAAGATTTTGCTGTACTCACACAAGTCTGTGATGAACTCAAAGATTCCCATTGAGTCACTGAACAATGGGAATTGAGAGCAGATTGCAGCATTTCAAGGGTGTAAAGGGACTGGGAAAAACAGAGGGCAGGTAGAGATACTATGTTTATAAGGTTTATCAATCAATCAGTCAAAAAACATGTATTAAGTACCTATTCTGTGCCAAGCACTGGTCTAAGCTCTGGGAATACAAAGAGGCAAAAGATAGGTCCTGCCCTCAAGGAGCTTACAATCCAATGAGGGAGGCAGCACATAAGGGAATACAGACAAAGCAAACTGTCTACAAGATTAGCAGAAAAAGAACCCAACAAAGTTGAACCTAGATAAAACAGACCACAGCATCAGGCAAAGTTGCTGTTGTCTTAATTTTTGTCAGTCTTGTTTATACCTAAAAGCATAAGGTGAGGGAACCTTGAAAGGGGAGGGCTTAAGCCTTCAGGAAGTGGACATGGGAGGGAATGACAAAGAATGAAATCTGCAGAATGGGTACAAGGAAGGAATAGCTCTTCCTCCCAACCTAAAGGGGAATTACAGTAGAAGAATGACATGAAAGCACAGGACCTAGGAAGGAGTTGGAGAAGCTTGGGACTGTCAACAACTCTTCTCTGTCTATTTTTGACTCACTTTCATAACTGGTTTTTTAGACTTATCCTGCCCACAGCCCTGGTGCTTCTTTGCTTTTCAAAAAGGACGTCAGGGCTGGCTTAGAAATAGAAAATCCTGTTCATGAGGAAATGAATGGAAAAGTGCTGAGAAAAGACAAATACCCCAGAGTTGAGTCCTAGCTTCACTTCTATAGGAAACAAAAGCAGGCTAGGAACACCCAGGGATGGTCATCAAGGGATCCAAGGAAGAAGCATGGGACAGATACCACAGGGTAAGAACTGAAGGAAAAGGACACAGTTCATGTTAACACACTTCCTGCTAAAAGGATGCAAATCTTTCATTCTTAAGTGTCAATACTGGGATGATAACCTGCGCCCCATAGGATTTCCCATGAGTGTAGAGCACAATGGATTTGCCAAACCACAGATCTATGAAAAAGTTTTTATGCCTCTAGGAGGGAAGGGGAGGACCTAGCAAGTCTTGGCCATGAGATGCCAGCCACCCTGGGTGATCTGAGCAAGGAAAACCACTTCATTCTGGTTGTTTTATCCTTCATGCCATGAATCCTAACAGAAGGGGAAGAACATCAGGGCCAACCTGGCTCCAGCTGGTTTTGTCTGCAAGGAAAGATTCCAAGGTGGGGGCTGGATGGTGGTGTTTGTGGTTTACCCTTCTGTCTGGAAGAGGACCAATGACATCAAGAGTGAGACAGCTTGACTTGCAAGTGAATTGGATTTAAGTGAGGCAGAGCTGTGTGAAGACATCAGCCTCACTCTCTCCTCCAGAGTCATCAGAGGCCAGTGGCAGGACATAGGTCAAGATGACTGGCACAATGACCCCAGACGCAGAGGAAGGGGAGGGCTTTCCCAGGACTCCTTTGTTTCTTTTCTCTTTCTCACATTTCAGGGGCCATCTCTAGTCATCCTGATCTATGTCATGCCACTGGACCCACATGGAAAGATTGAGGCTGATGACTTGGCACAATCCTGTCTCACTTAAATCCAATTCACTTGTACATCATGGAATCAACTTCTTGATATGATGGTCTTCTTGAAGAAAGAAGGACAAGGTGCAGATAGGCAGCACAGTGGATGGAGCACCAGTCCTGGATTCAGGAGGACCTGAATTCAAATCAGGCCTCAAACACATAACACTTACTAGCTGTGTGACCCTGGGCAAGTCACTTAACCCCATTGCCTAGCCCCTCCCCCCAAAAAATACAAGGACAAACACAACATAAAATTACAAATCAGCACTCTGACCAAAGGAATATAAATTTCTTGAAACTGATCTCTGGAAAACCAGGGTTTGAT